TATTACTGCACCTATTACATACATAGAACACTTAACTCTGATATTAACCCTCCCCTCAAACATCTCCTTGCCAACCTCAACAGAACACATGACCATAACACAAGGCACAGATCACTCTTTGATGTTCCTCGTGTCCATCTCACGCTATGCAAAAACTCAATGCACATAAAAGGCCCTAAAATCTGGAATTCAGTACCTGTAAATATAAAAGAAACACTACCTGTTTATAAATTCAAGTCTCTTCTCAAAGATCACTTGCTCACTCAAAACCAAATAAATACTGAATAACTGAACCTTATAAATTGTATATCCTATATGTTACTCACAATTATATCACACAAATGTTAAACCTAGGACCCAATCTAACTTTGTTATTTTTTTAAATACACTACCTAACAGAATACTCCATTCGACTGAATGTACAGCAATGCATGCAACCATATGACCTGTCTTTGTAATACTCATTTGTGCTTTATAGTTATCTGTTTACAATAATGTTTTATCGCTGATTTCATCATTGCTTAGTTAATCTTAAGTTAATTTTAAGCCAGCCCGTAATGCTATGCATATAAGTGGCTTTGGCATGCTGCTCTTACCTGTATTTTTTTGTACCTCTGTATGTATGCTAAAATTACTAAATAAATAAATAAATAAATTCTCCTATCTCTGTCTTGGTGGCTTATATTAGAGAAAACGGAGTATAACACAGGGCTAACTTGATGTACACTCGTACTGTGCCATAAACATGAAACAAAAAAGTTATTTTCTCTCTATAGATTATCACACACAGCAGCATACGTGTAGAGAACCTAGGATAACCCAAAAAAGTCAACGTGGCTTATTTTTAGTACCTGGCTTGGGTTAGCCATATATGATTTTTGGTAAATATTCGATTCCCAGCCAGGGTAGAAACATTAGGTGTGTTTCTTTACACCTGTTGTCTATGTTTACCCATCAGTAAATGGGTACCTGGGTGTTAGCTGACTAGTGTTTATCTGGAGTTTATCTGGAGAGAGTTCCGGGGGTCAACGCCCCCGCGGCCTGGTCTGTGACCAGGCCTCCTTAGGTCAGTGTCCCAGGATGCGACCCACACCAGTCGACTAACACCCAGGTACCCATTTTACTGATGGGGAACATAGACAACAGGTGGAAAGAAACACGTCCAATGTTTCTACTCTGGCTGGGAATCGAACCCAGGCCCTCACTCAGCATAACAAGCGGCTTTCTATACAGTAGTATGTCACTGATGTCAGCTACGCCTGTATACCTTGTACATGTACGTGTAATAAATAAAGATATTATTATTATTATTATTATTATTATTATTATTATTATTATTATTATTATTATATTATTATTTTCTCAGTTGTTTGTTGGGTTATCTTATTCAAACTTGGGCAATGTATGATGGAAAGATACTTCTTCACACACACCAAAAATGAAAGAAATCAGACCATAAATAGCGGAGTTCACTTCTCAGCCATTAGCGGCCGCTTAGCGGTATATTTTTGTATGGTTGTTATGGTTATATTCTCATTTTTTCAGTCTCATTTGATAGAATGAAAGATATATTACAGAAATAGATATGATTTTGATTGCTTTCATGACGAAAAGTACCTTGAAATTGCGCTCACAGTAGCGAAATTGTTCTATTCTTTAGCGAAGCTCAAGAGTAAACAATACCTGTCCAATACCTGTCCGCCTGCCAGTTTAAATTCCAGTACGGAGTCAAGAATGGCTTGACATTATTTATACAATTATTACAATAATGCAGCAGTCTGCATAACAGTAAATCTTCTATTTTTTTTGTGAATAAAAATTCCAAATGAAAAGCAAGAGTAATATAAGAGGGGCATGTAGCCGTGACTAATGAACAGAGAAAATGATTATTTTAGTGCCAGGAATGTCTGCATTGTTTATTCTGTATCCTATTTTGAAATTGGCATCTGTTGAAATTTGTGTGAAATCGGCCAAATTGCCAATTTCTGACCACTTTATTGGGTAGTTGAAATAAGTGAATGGGCGGTTTCTTGTACTCAGTTGACAGACTAGAAGTAAATAAGTTTATTCAGGTATACACAAATACAGTTACATAGATTATCATACATAGCAGTGTATGTACATATAGAGAACCTAGGATAACCCAGAAAAGTCAGACAAAGTGACTTATTTCCAGTACCTGGCTTGGGCTTGCCATATATAATTTTTGGTAAATATTTTTTTTTCTCTGTTGTTTGTTGGGCTATCTCATTGAAACTTGGGCAATGTATGATGGAAAGATGCTTCTTAACGTACAACAAAAATAAAAAAGATGGACGATAAATAAGGGAGTTAACTTCTCAGCCATTAGCCACCTCTTTGCAGTATATTTTCGTATGGTTTTTATGGTTGTATTCTCATTTTTTTGGACTCATTTGATAGAATGGAAGATATATTACAAAAATTGACATGATTTTGATTGCTTTCATAATGAAAAGTACAGTGGACCCCCGGTTAACGAACTTTTTTCATTCCAGTAGTATGTTCAGGTGCCAGTACTGACCGAATTTTTTCCCATAAGGAATATTGTGAAGTAGATTAGTCCATTTCAGACCCCCAAACATACACGTACAAACGCACTTACATAAATACACTTACATAATTGGTCGCATTTGGAGGTGATCGTTAAGCGGGGGTCCACTGTACATTGAAATTGAACTCAAAGTAGCGGAAATGTTCAATTTTTGCCGATGTTCAGTGAACTGTGTAAGTCAAGTTGGTTAATTTTATTAAGTGTATTCTAACCTAACCACTCTGTACTTCGGCAAATTCAGTAATCCGGCACACTACAGGTCCCAATGATGCCGGATTTGTGATGGAGGACCTGTATCATGAAATTGTAATAAATCTGGAATGAATAAGGCATCTTTCTGCAGCTCCACACCCTGTTTGCTGGTAGGGAAGCTGGTGGTGGAACAGCAGCTCCTGGTTTCATTGTTGACTTATGCTAATTTGACAGTGTTACCCCCTTGATGCACTGTGTGGACCTGTCTGGTCTTAAATTTTTTTTTCAGAGGGATGATGAGGTTGTAGAAGACCCAAACAGTTGAGCTGAGGTAAAGAAATATTGGCAAGTTTGCACTTGCAGTCACAAAAATTTGAGCATAATAGTATGTTGGAGACACAGTCATCACCTGTGTACTAGTACACCTACCATCCAACTTACGACCGAGTTCGGTTCCAAGAAACCGGTCGTAAGTCGAAATGGTCGTAAGTCGAACTTTACTACTGAATATCAACAAAACATTTTTGTAATGACTTTATTTTATTGTTTTATTTTGGTATTTCATGTTTTACTTTACTTTGTATGCTGTTAGTACTGTATTTTATACTGTAAGGTTTAGGATAAACACTGTGTACAACACAAATAGTTGTTTATTTCCGAGAAATTTGGCACAAAAAACACGGTCGTAAGTGAAGTGGTCATAAGTCGAGCAGGTCGTAAGTCGGATGGTAGGTGTATATTGGACACAGTTAAAAGGTTAATATTAACCCTTTGAGGGTTGACAGGCCCTCTCCGAGACTTGCTCTCAGGGTTGGCCAAATTAAAAAAAAAAAATTATTTTTTCTTATGAAAAGATAGAGAATCTTTTCCCGATCATAATGACACCAAAAGTATGAAATTTGATGGAAAACTTATGGAATTATGCTTTCGCAAAGTTAGCGGTGTCGACGATGTTTACGCATCGGCAATTTTGCCCACTTTGAGCCCTATTTTCAGCCAATTCCAGTGTACTAGTAGACAAAAATCATAACTATTTCTCTAGAACTCCATTTTTTCTATTGAATGAGTACAAGAAACCACCCATTTACTGATTTCAACTATCCAATACAGTGGTCAGAATTTAGCAATTTTTCCAATTTCACACAAATTTCAAAAGATGCCAATTTCCAAATAGGGTCCAGAATAAACAAGAAAGACATTCCTGGCACTAAAATAACATTTCCTCTGTTTGTTAGTCACATCCCCAGGCCCCTCTTTTATTTCTTTGGCTTTCCACTTTCAATTTTTATTCTTACAAAAAATAGAAGATTTACTGTTATGCAGACTGCTGAATTAGTGTAGAAACGGTATAAATAATATCAGCACACTTGTGAAAGAATATTAGACTCACCAGTTGATGTGTATTGGACGCTTGGCATGATTTGTTTACTTTTGAACTTTGGTAAAAATCGAACATTTCTGCTAATTTGAGCTCAATTTCAAGGTACTTTTCATTGTAAAACCAGTCAAAATCATCTCAATTTTTGTAATATGTCTTCCATTCTATAAAATGAAACCAAGAAAACTAGAATACAACAATAAATATCATTCAAAAATACAGTGCAAAGTCGCTGTTTTATTCCAAAAAACATGGTCAAAGTTTTTTTTTTCTCATTATGCATTGTGTGCTGCAAGATTTTTTTTATACTGCGCACACTGACCATATAGACCCATTCTTTCATATGTAGCCTACCAGCTTTCTCCCACTAGATTTGAGGGCGCTAGAATTTAGGCGTACTAGTACGTCAAAAACCCTTGGTCGTAAGTCATACTAGTACGGCCGAAACCCTCAAAGGGCTAAGATCAATGTCAAGATTTGTTCAACAAAATGCTATTAATGAGAGTATAGTCGGTTACTGTTTCTAGCAAATTCTAAAACAGCACAAAATAACCTAACAAACTAATTCTTTGTGAACTTTTTGTATAAGTTTTATTGTCAAAATTTTATTTAATTTTTATTATTTGGTTATGAACTGCCGTCATAGTTTGTACTACAAATCTTGGTGCCATGTATACAAAATTGAATGCCTGTGATCTTTCTCTTGAGACCAACCTAGGTTCAGGTTACAAAGATTTGGCATGATTTTAATACATTTAAATCCTCAGACAAATCAGTTTTAGTACCTGTTAAATAATAATTGAATTAAAGAGTAATAATTTTATCTCTTTCCTAAATTACTGTTTTTTTTACAAACAGCTTGTCTGGTCGCCAGAGAGGTGGGAAGATGGTGCTACAGATCCTACGACCACCCCTTTTGAAGCATCTACAGACAGCGAGCTTAACTTGTGTAGTATCTAGAAATTATTCTGCAAAAGCAACTATCAAACAAGGAGAACAGGTAGTGTTCCAGTGTTTTTACCTCAGTGGCTGTTTCCCACCAAGGCAGGGTGATCCAAAGAAACCATCTTTCATTCAATTACTGGCTTACCAGAAGTGTGCTGACATAACAATCCATCTGCAACATTTCCACCCCTCCTTCATAGTGCAGGCACTATCCTTCCTACTTCCACAACTCCAGCTAACCGGTTTCCCTGAATCCCTTCATAAAAGTTACCTTGCTAAAACTCCAACAGCATTCCATTAAAAGTCACTTGCCTCCATTTACTTCTGTCAACACAGTTATGCAAGTCTGCTGTATGCTCAGATCCCTAAAACTCGTTTTCTTATTTATATTCAGTAGACCGTCGTTTAACACAAGTTACGTTCCTGAAAATGCCGTGTTACACAAAACTGTGCTAGACAAACTAAAGAACTTATGGGAAAAATAGGGTTACATTCCTGCGAGCCCCCAAAAAGCCGAACAACTTTTTTTTAGACCAACAGATCTTACAAAAATAAAAGTGAATATGTAATTGTAGTTCATTGTCGTGATGTATTATGTTGTTTTTACTGCATAAGGTTACAAATGCAACAGAAATAATAGTATTTCTTAGCTTAAATTGTGGGTGCTGGTGTTTGTGGATGATTGTGAAGAGAGTGGAGAGTTATGCTGTGGTCCTACTGGGCTGAGGTGGATGGTAGAGATACTGGTAATGAAGTCATTCAGTAAGTCAATCAAGTCATTCAGTCAGTCAAGTCATTCAGTCAAGTCAGTCAGTAAGTCATTCAGTCAGTCAAGTCATTCAGTCAGTCAAATCATTCAGTCAGTCAAGTCATTCAGTCAGTCAAGTCAGTCAGTAAGTCAGTCAGTCATATTTATCTCATTCTTTTTGTGTACAAAATGATGCTTCATTCCAGCTACAGGCTTCTCTGATAAGATATATATGGACCATGCATTTTGTAATAGACAGAAAGGTCAGACAGAGAGTGTGCCTTCCTGGAGCTGGTGTTGGTGACATAGTCAGCAGGTTGGATAATATTATTGCAGGTAATGGGAACAAGCCCATTATCTGTCTTAGTGCTGGGGGTAATGACAGTGGGAAGGGCAGGAGAGAGGAGCTGCTGGATAAGTACAGGTTAGCCATAGAAGTAGTTGGGTCTAAGGGAGGGATCCCAGTCATATGTAGCATCTTGCCTAGAAAGGGAGTGGGCAATGAATGGATGTCTAGGGCAATTGGTATAAATTGCTGGCTAGACAGGTAGTGCAAGGAACTTGCAATCCCTTTCATTGATAACTGGGACCTATTCTTTGGCAAACATGATATGGAGTGATTGCATTAGCCAATTCAATTGAGAGGGTAATTGATGACTTGTCTAGGAATTTAAACTGATAGATTATAGAGGTATGGGTGTTTCTGGGAAACAATCAGGCTGCAGTATTAGGGTTAAAAACAGCAGTTATTACTGGGATACCTCAGGGATATGTTTAAAAGACAATATTCAAAATAAAGTTGCTAGTAATGGCAAATCAATTGATCAACAGACAAAGAGAGATAGCAGAGGGCAACGAGTGACTAGCTCCCTTAAGGTTTACTATACAAATAGTAGGAGTCTAAGAAATAAGATAGATGAGCTAAGATTACTTGCAAGTGTAGGTAATATAGATATTATTGGTATAACAGAGACCTGGTTCAACCTGAAAGATAGTGAAATGCCTTCTGAATGCAACATATAGGGTTATAAACTATTCCCACATGATAGGGTCACCAGGAAGGGTGGTGGAGTGGCGATGTATGTCAGAGAAAATTAAAATTGTTGTCTTAGACATGATATAAGATTAGAAACATAGAACACAGAATCTGTTTGGCTACAGTTTCTCGAGGGACGTGACAAATTAATTTTGGGTGTGATTTATAGGCCCCAAACCCTGATAGGGAGTGCAGTAAGCTGTTATGGGACGAAATTCATAAGGCATCTAGATATGAAAATGTTGTGATAATGGGGAGATTTTAACTTTAGACAAATGATTGGAAACAATATGACAGGAAATCTTGAGTCTAGTGACTTTCCTGATACGAATCGGGTTTGCTTTTTAGAACGGGTTGTGACAGAACCAATAGGGGAAAAACAATCTGCTTGACTTTTTTGCCAAAAAGATTACAAATTTGTAATTTGGGAAAATGATGAGCTTGGGGGAAAGTGATAAAAATCACTTGTTTAATATGTATCATGGAATTACCCAGTAACGCAATCAAATCTCTGTCCCCGTTTTCCTTTGGGCCCGGACTTCAGGGGGACTGAAAAATTCCCTGGGGGGGGCTAAATTGGGATTTTCCTGATATGGTCAGGAGGTGATTTGGTTGCCAATATGTTTTTTTAGAGCAAAATTCTAGGCCCAGACAATTTTTTCTATGGGAAAATTAGATCAAACAGAAATGCCCCAAATGGATAAACAATAGATTAAAACAACTTATTGGTAAAAAAGAGGGCAATATAGGCTATAAAAGAGGGGATGGGCAGTTAGAAATCGTATATTCAGTTAAAGAGAAAAAATAAAGAAAGGAAAAGAAAAGCAAAAAGGGATTTGAGGTAAACTCGCAAAGGATTCAAAGATTAAACCCAAAAAGGGGTTTAGGTATACATAAGTAAAATTTGGGACAAAAATTTGGCCATTAAAAGTAACTTGGTCAGATCATGACATTGTAAGGACTGTGGAAATTTTCAATACCCATTCCCCTCAGTTTTTTCCCCGGTAAAACTAGGATATTCCCGAAAAATTTGATTATGTAGAACAAGATGATAATTTAAACTTGTATGATTGGGTAACTAGTGCTGGTCCTCAGACAATAGAGAAAAATAAAACCTAACAAATCCCCAGGCCCTGATGAACTGTTTGCAAGGGTGTTAAAGGAATGTAAAGAGGAACTTAGCATACCTTTGGCTAATCTTTTTAACATATCACTACAAACTGGCATTGTGCCTGATAAGTGGAAAATGGCAAATGTAATACCTATTTACAAGGCAGGTGACAGGTCCTTGGCTTCAAACTATAGCCAGTAAGCCTGACCTACATAGTGGGAAAAATTTATGGAATCAATAATTGCCCAAGCAATTCGTAGCCATCTTGACAGGCACAGACTGATTAATGAATCTCAACACAGTTTTACAAAGGGGCGTTCCTGTCTTACTAATTTACTAACTTTTTTCACTAAAGTGTTTGAGGAGGTAGATCATGGTAATGAATATGATATTGTGTATATGGACTTCAGTAAGGCTTTCGATAGAGCTCCACACCAGAGGCTATTGAGGAAACTTAAGGCACATGGAATAGGAGGAGAAATTTTTTCCTGGGTAGAGGCATGGCTGACAAATAGACAGCAGAGAGAGTGCATAAATGGGGAGAAATCAGAATGGGGACACGTCACAAGCGGTATTCCTCAGGGGTCAGTGTTGGGCCCATTGTTGTTCACAATTTACATAAACGACATAGATGAGGGAATAAATAGCGACATAAGCAAATTTGCTGATGACACCAAAATAGGCCGTCCAATTCATTCTAATGAGGACACTAGAGCACTCCAGGATGATTTGAATAGACTGATGCAATGGTCGAAAAGTGGCAGATGCAGTTTAATATTGACAAATGCCAAGTTCTAAATGTTGGACAGTTAAATAACCATGCCACATATAAACTAAATAATGTAGATCTTAATACTACTGATTGCAAAAAGGATTTAGGAGTTCTGGTTAGCAGTAATCTAAAACCAGGACAACAGTGTATTAGTGTTCGCAATAAAGCTAACAGAATTCTTGGCTTCATATCTAGAAGCATAAATAATAGAAGTCCTCAGGTTGTTCTTCAACTCTATATATCCTTGGTTAGGCCTCATTTAGACTATGCTGCTCAATTCTGGTCACCGTATTACAGAATGGATATAAATGCTCGGGAAAACGTACAGAGGAGGATGACAAAGATGATCCCATGTATCAGAAATCTTCCCTATGAGGATAGACTGAGGGCCCTGAATCTGCACTCACTCAAAAGGCATAGAATTAGGGTGGATATGATCGAGGTGCATAAATGGAAAACAAGAATAAATAAAGGGGATGTAAATAGCGTGCTGAAAATTTCCAGCCAAGACAGGACTCGCAACGATGGTTTCAAGTTAGAAAAATTCAGATTCAGGAAGGATATAGGAAAGCACTGGTTTGGTAATAGAGTCATGGATCAGTGGAACAAACTCCCGAGTACAGCTATTGAGGCTAAAACGTTGTGTAGTTTTAAAAATAGGTTAGATAAATACATGAGTGGGTGTGGGTGGGTGTGAGTTGGACCTGGCTAGCTTGTGCTGCTGGGTCTGGTGCCATGCTCCATCCTTGAGTGGAGGTGACCAGACTGGGTAGGTCATTGGGCTAATCAGGGGGGGAGGACATGGACCTGCTCCGCATGGGTCAGTAGGCCTGTTGCAATGTTCCTTCTTATGTTCTTACTTTCCACAACTGGCATAGGCTCATCAGGGTCAGCCTAAACCCTTCAAATTCCTCCTCTTGGACACATTCTGGCCACAATTTTCTCCAAGCAGAGTTCAAAGTCTTGGAAGTCATTCCCTCCCAAGCCTTACCTATAAGGTTAATGCAATGGAGGATATTGAAGTGATTTTCCAGAACTCTCTTAGAGTTATTTCAGTGTCTGAGGTCACTTCAAAGCACTTTTGAAACACTGCTTTGGTGTACAGTGTTTTGAAGTTTGAAATGACCTGCTGGTCCATGGGCTGGAGGAGAGGAGTGGTATTAGGGGGCAAGAACTTCACTGTGATGAAATGAAACTCCTTCACCATTTGCTCTTCCAAGTCTGGAGAATGAGGAGGAGCATTGTCCATTACCAGGAGGCACTTGAGTTCCAGTTTATTTTCCAGGAGGTATTTCTTCACACTGGAGCCAAATCTTCATTGAACCAATGAAGGAAAATGTCCCTTGTGACCCATGCCTTACTGTTTACCTTCCACATCACACACAATT